TACTCAACAGGAGTACTTAGGGGCCGAGGGTGTGACAACACAAGGAAACAACAGCCAATGACTTTATAGCTGGCCATCAACACCCCGATCAACAATGAAAAAGCCCCACACAACCAGGCACCACATTCTATAAATACTACACATAGAATAGTTCAAAGCACACATTCTGCTGTGATTGGATCCTGCAAAAACCTCTGCCTATCCCAGGTGCCTGGGAAGGACTCAAAACAGGGACAAAAATGCCAAGCCCATTCTGAACATCTGACTATCCGTGCAATCAACTCTACTGCTTCAACAAGAAGCAACACCACAACTTTATCGCTCGTCCCCGTAATGAAATAATGATACATTGAGAGCATAATGAAGGTTTGATAATTTCCTGTTTTCCACCAAGAGTTATTGGAATGCAATGGCCCACTAAGCTAATAAATAAAGTCATTTTAAAAAAAAAAGAAAAGAAAAGCTAAGCAATTAAGCTTTATTATTTGTTTTTCTTGCTGGTTATTGCTTTTGAAAATATACGGTTCCCAGTAAAGGTGGCACGATGCGTTGCGTGATAAGTCGCAGCGGCCAATTCAACAGTGAGTTTGTTGTCTACTTCTGAGATATTTTTTTTTTTTTAAATTTTTCAGGCTATCAAGGAGACACAGACGATAAACCTGAAGATCTGCCTAGTCAGGTGAAATAGAATAAGAAGGTGTAATAATAAATAGAGGGGTGAGCTAACATATATAGACATAATCTTTCACAGCCATCAATGCAAGGCAACGTATCACTTTTAATAACAGCTGGTGATAGCAAAGGAAGGATGCTGAACACATTTCAGCATCCAATCTCTCTGGCAGACAGCATTCTTTCTGTTAGTCCATGCCTATCTCTTATAGTCGGGGTCGCCAGCCCCCAGTCTGTGGATTAGTACTGAGCCGCAGCATGCCAGCAATCGGGCCGCACAAACAAGCAAAGCCCCATCTGCGGGATGCAGGTAAGACACAAACCCACGCCCCGTCCGATCTGCGGAAAAATCTCTCTCCATGTAACCGGTCCCTGGTGCCGAAAAGGTTGGGGACCTCTGTTTACAGGTAGTCCTCGATTTACGACTGTAATCGAGCCTGCAATTACGGTAGTAAGTTGAGATGGTTGTAAAGTGGATCATCCCCCTTCCCCCGTCTTGTAAATCCCACTGAAACAGAAGGGTAGTCAAGTGTAATGCGTAGACAGAGAGTCCTTGTCTTACGATTACAACGGGGACCAGCTGCTAAGGAAGATGGGTCTTAAGCGAGTTACCCTACCGGCTTTGTTTTGCCACGGTTACGAAGTGAATCACGGCGGTCGCTAAGCGGACCACTCAACCGTTAAGCGAATCTGCTTCTCCCGTTGATTTTGCTGGCCGGAAGCTGGCTGAAAAGTCGCAAATGGCGACTCCAGGACACCGCAACTGTCCCGAAGACACGCTCGGCGGCCAAGCGCCTGAATCATGATCACGTGACCCTGGGGTAGCCGTGACGGTCGTAAGTGTGAGCATTGGCCGTAGGTCCCTATTTTCAGGGCTGTTGTTAACTCTGAACGGCGGCTAAATGAATGATGGTACGCCGAGGACTATCTGATTTGAATTTTGCCAAAGGAAAATATTTATTCCCCATCCTAGCATGTGTGTGTGTTTGGGAGGAAGGTTGTTTGTATGCGTGGGGGGGGGGGTGTGAGTGTGTGCTAATTATGACAGTGCCCCCAAGCCTGTACAACCCCGTAATCATTGTCAAGAAATTCAAAGAATAGAGAAGGTTACATGAATAAACAGGGCAAAGGAACCGTCCTGCCCAGGATTCTATTTTATCATTGAGGAACAACGAGAAGATAAAAGGAAATAATTATCCCAGCCTCGTTAAAGTCATCAGTTAACAGTGTCAGGTTTTTGCCCTGCTGTTGACCTGGAACGTGTGACTGGAAGGGAAGAAGGAGAGCGCTTGTCATCTGGGGCAGTGGCCCCTCCTCTGTTATTGTCAGCAAAGCTGAACAAAAGATCTCAGTGTCTTATTATATCCATCCCCGGCTGTTGCAGAGGTTAATTTTCTTGCAACGGATGAGCAATAAGGAAAGCTCACTTCTCGGATGGCAGATGCACCTTGGTCTTTGCATCAGGAGTTGCATGCACCAGCACAGGCCAGTTGTGTTGTACACACACACTAGCTTCCCTTTTCTACCTGGGATGGGATGGGATGGGATAGAATAGAATAGAATAGGGAATATAGAATAGAATAGAATAGAATAGAATAGAATAGAATCTTTATATGGAATGGAATATAGAATAGAATAGAATCTTTATATAGAATGGAATATAGAATATAGAATAGAATAGAATCTTTATATAGAATGGAATATAGAATATAGAATAGAATAGAATCTTTATATAGAATGGAATATAGAATATAGAATAGAATAGAATCTTTATATAGAATGGAATATAGAATATAGAATAGAATAGAATCTTTATATAGAATGGAATATAGAATATAGAATAGAATAGAATCTTTATATAGAATGGAATATAGAATATAGAATGTAGAGCAGAGCAGAGCAGAATAGAATATAATCTTTATATGGAATGGAAGGGAACAGAACAGAATAGAATATATGGAATGGAATGAAATGGAATAGAACATTCTTTACTGGTCAAGTGTGATGGGACACACAAGGAATTTGCCTCTGATACACACGTTCTCATTGGACATACAAACAACAAATATATATTTAAATTTCCAACGGTCTCCCCATTATTGACTGCAGGAAGCATTCTGGTCTTGCTGGTCTCAGCCAGTGAGCACACACAGCATGCCCATTTGATAATCAATGAGGGTTTCTTGATCAAATTAAGAGTAAAACAGGAGGGGTGGAGGAAGAAAAAAAAACTGTTTCTCAAGAGCATCGAATTTCAGCTTCCAGAGATTGGGCTCCCCTCTTTTTTTCAATAGATTGAGAAAATTCTCTTGTACATACGCATACACATACATAAGGAGGGAGGGAGGGAGGAAGAGAGGGAGGGAGGGAGGGAGGGAGGGAGGGAGGGAGGGAGGGAAAAAAAGAGTATATTTGGACCCTATCTATGCTTTTGGGGAATCTTTTACAGACCTCCTTAAATTCCCAAATACGTGCAAAATCATTTGTAGCAGTTTCATTTGCTTTTTAAATCCTCTTTTAGTTTAACATGTTTCTTTTCAATACAAAAACAAAAACCTTCATTTTTTTAATACATTTTGCAACTAGAAGCTAAGCAGACAGCCCAACCAAAAGAAAAGGAGAGCTAAATAATATTTCCTCCTTAATGAGAGCAGAAGAGTAAGAGATGAAAAGGCAGTTGGCAGGATTTTCATTTGCACAACGAAGGGACAGAATTTGCAAAAAACACAAACAAAAAAACAACACTTGCCTCACCTTCCTTACAAAAAGTAAGGGCATTGTAACAAGCCAGTTTTCAATTTCTCTCCTTTAGAGAGGAATTTCAATGAACTCAACCTTGTAATGTTCAGCAAAACTCAACCAAATTGGACCACATTACTCAACAGTTCCAATGATCAAAGGTTAAAACTTGGCCAATAAACTTAGTAGGAAGATGCTTTATAGGTTAAGAACTGGCAGGTATTTCCACCTAACTAACCAAGCTTGATTGGACGTAACCTTAGTTCCTTTTTAGTGGTGATTTAGCATACTGGGCAAAAATCCCAGTCATTTGGGTAGATCCATGCTGCTCCACCTTAGCAAGTTTAAGATAATCTGGATTTCAACTTCTTTTCTTTCAAATTCTGAGAGCTGAAGCTCAGACATCTTAATGTTGCTAAGGTTGAGAAATGCTGAATTAGTGTAATTAGTGCCCAGAAGTGGAATTAATTCAGTCACCAGTTTGATATGGTGAATGGATGTATATACACACACAAACATTTCCCAAAGGTGTATTATTATTATTTTTTTAAAAAACCTAGCTGGACTTTCTTGTTTTTTTTCTTGAAGACTTTTCACTTCTCATCCAAGAAGCTTCTTCAGTTCTGACTGAATCCATTCCATCCTAACGTCTTCGAAGAAAAACAACAGAAGTCCAGCTGGCTTTTGAAAAAAAAACGCCTTTGGGACAACCATGACCTGGATGACTGAGAATCTCCAGAGACATACCCACAAACACATTTCGTCCACAAATGCCTGTCAAACATAATTCAACCTTAGTGCAGCCCATCCGATGAAGCCAACACAACGTAATGGCTAGAGATCTCATTTGGGTTTCATGAGATACGGGAATCAGAATTCTAAAATGCTGGCTTAGGGGCTGCTTCAGAAGAAGGGAAAGCGAGATAGGCCACCAGTTTGCAAATTGGGAAAATCCTAAGGCAGGTAGAATACAGGTAGTCCTCGGCTTACAACGGTGACTGTTCGAAGTTACAATGGCACTGAAAAAAGTGACCATATTATGACCGTTTTTCACACTTTAGGACCGCTGCAGCAGCATCCCCATGGTCACGTGATCAACATTCAGATGCTTGGCAACTGACTCGTATTTATGACGGTAGCACCGTCTGACAACCGAAGTCAATGGGGGAAAGCCAGATTGCCTTATTATCTTCGCAGCTGCAATGATTCCCCTTTGCAACGGCAACAAGGGAGGCCGTAAACTGGAGCAAAATACACTTAACAAATGTCTTGCTTGGCAACAGAAATTCTGGACTCCATTTTGGTCATGAAGTCGAGGAATACCTGCAGAAGCCCCACAGAAAGAAGAAGCAAAACAAAAGACAGAAGGAGAGCAATTTCGTTCAGAGAGAAACTCTAAACGCCAGGGGTCTTCAAACGTGGCCCCTTTTAAGACTTGCGGACTTCAACTCCCAGAATTCCTCAGCCAACCCAATTCTGGGAGTTGAAGTCCACAAGTCTTAAAAGGGGCCAAGTTTGAAGACCCCTGCTCTGAGGCCAAACACAAAAAAATGGCTTCCTGTCTGCCATATTGGAGAGTAATCCCATACCTTGTTCGCTACCAAGCCGCTCCTGATATGAGGTAGCTCCAGGTCCGCTGAATTCTACGGACAGACAAAACAAAAAGTTCCATTCACAATCACTTTTATAGTAGCATTTTTTTTAGGGGGAGGGGAAAAATAAATCAAACTTCTTTTCAATCCTTGCTTTGGCTAAAGCACAGCTGGTTGTCCACTTACAAGCATTCCTTTCATGGCCGTTCAAAGTTACCGCCAGTCCTCGCCATTATGACTCACGGCCTCCCTAGGATCCTTGTGACTGCCATTTAGGGCTTGGGGAGCTGTGTGTATTTGTGACGGTTGTGGTGTCTTGGGGTCACGTGGCGGCCTTTTGCGACCTTCTCACGTTGGCCTCAGACAAGGAACGTCAGTGGGGGGAAACTGGATTCACTTCAGGGCGGCCATTTGCTTCACAATTGTGGCCCCCCAAAAAAGGGCGGGAAATTGGGTATGGTCACATGGCTGGTTCGCAGGTATAAATCAACTTTTGCCACCTCCAATTATTAGACGACAGAGGTTGTGGTTTAATGATAGGTGTGCTTTTAACGTCATTCACGTTAATGTTTAATAGATTTGTGTGTGTTTCGTGGAAGAGCTGGTGGGCCTTCCAATTTAGAGGCAGGGCCAGAGGCCTTCAAAGGCCACAAAAGGCCTCAGATGACTTATTAAAACAGGAAGCTCTTCCTGAGCCTGACCCCGTAGTCCATCTTCATCTTTGTATGGCCTATGGCAAGGGTGCCGAACCCCTAGTCCAGTGTTTCTCAACCTTGACCATTTTAAGGCATGTGGACTTCAACTCCCAGAATTGCACAGCTAGCATTGTTGGCTGTGGAATTCTGGGAGTTGAAGTCCACATGCCTTAAAATTGTCAAGGTTGAGAAAGACTGCGCCTAGTCCGTGGACTGGTACCGGGCCACGGCATGCCAGCAACCGGTCCACACAAATAAGCAAAGCCCCATCCGCGGAATGCAGGCAGCACACAAAAGCACGCAACCTCCGGTCCGTGGAAAAACCTCTCTCCGTGGAACCGGTCCCTGGTGCCCCAAAGGTTGGGGACCTCTGGCCTACGGGACTTGGGTAGCCACTGGCAGTTGTTCTCCAGGCTTTTCAAAGGGTGCTTCCAACTCTGTGGGAGCTGTGGAGGACTAATCCTGGGACCTGCTGGGTGATAAACAGCCCTGAAAACCACCTTGCAAGTTGATCCAATGACTTTGCCTTCTTCTGTACAAGAGGCAACCGTAAGAATTTGCTCAATGGTAGGGGAACGAAGGATAGACCCCCAATATATTCTTATCTGGTCAAGGAACATCAGAATACAGAATTGGAAGGGACCTTGGAGGTCTTCTAGTCCAGCCTGCTGCTCAAGCAGCAGACCCTGCACCATTCCGCACAAATGGCTGCCCAGTCTCTTCTTGAAAACCACCAGTGATGGAGCACCCGCAACTTCTGGAGGCGAGCCGTGCCACTGTTTAACGGTTCTGATTGTCAGGACCTTTCTCTTTAATCACATCAACATGACTAACATTGTCTTCCTCCAGATACCGAGGATCGCAACTGCCACAATTTCCAACCGAGGGTAATTCAACCGCTTCCAGTGGCCCCTTTCCCTTCCCTACTGCAAATCTAGGTTGCTTTAAGCCGGAAGACAAACAACATTGCAGGAGTTGACCCAGGGGCAACTTTGCAAATGTCTTTGCCAATTTTTCTGGGTCTTTGGCCACAGGACTCCCCAGTTCCAACAGGACCTCCCCTTCCATGGGCTATTTAGCAAACACCACCTCAAAGAGGTTTAGAAACAAAAACACCGGGCCCTTCATCCCTGTTGTGTAAATCTGAGATAAGAGATTGTCTGCTTAATCCTAATGAGGCCTCTCCATTAAAATCTTTATTAAACTCGCAGCTCAGCGGGGGCTGGCCAGCCAACTCTGTTTGGCCCCCTGGCCCCCTCTTTTTTTCCCCTCTCCGCTATCTCTCAGTACTTAGATCTGCTTTAACTTTTTACAAATAGCTCTAAGATGTTTCCACGGCTTATCAGCAATGCCAAGCCGCTTACTTTATCACTGCTATTGCAGATAAAATAAATGAGCTGGGGATGAGATGAATAATGGCATTTTCTGCAGGCAGGGTTCCCATTACATTCTACAACAGACTGTAGATTTCAACTTCGCCACAAAAGACACACCGGGTGGGTAGGAGACAGGAAGAGAGGAAGAGGGGTAAAAAGAGAGAGAGGGAGGGAGGGAGGAACAGAAAGAGAGAGGGAGAGAAGGAGAGAGAAATAGAGAGGGAGGAAGAGAGAGAGGGGGAGGGAGGGGGTAGAAAGAGAGGGGGAGGGAGAGAGAGAAAGGGAAAGGGGTAGAGACAAGGAGAGAGGGAGGGAAGGAGAGAGAAATATATATAGAGGGAGAGGGAGGGAGGGGAGGGGGAGAGGGAAACGGGAAGAGAGAAAGAGAGAGAGAGAAAGAGAGAAGGAGAGAGGGAGAGAGAGAGGGAAAGGGGTAGAAAAAGAGGAGAGAGAGGGAGGGAAGGAGAGAGAAATATGTAGAGAGAGAGAGGGAGAGGGAGGGAGGGAGGGAGGGGAAGAGGGAAAGGGAGAAAGAGAGAAATAGAGAGGGAGGGAGAGAGAGGGAGGGAGAGGGGTAGAAAGGGAGAGGAAAGGAAGGAGAGAGAAATATATAGAGAGAGGGAGAGAGAGGGAGAGAGAGGGGGAGGGAGGGGGAGAGAGGGAGAGGGAGAGGGAGAGGGAGAAGGAGGGGGAAAGAGAGAGAGAGAGGGAGGGAGAGAGAGAAAGGGAAAGGGGTAGAAAGGGAGAGGAAAGGAAGGAGAGAGAAATATATATAGAGGGAGAGGGAGGGAGGGGAGGGGGAGAGGGAACGGGAAGAGAGAAAGAGAGAGAGAGAAAGAGAGAAATAGAGAGGGAGGGAGAGAGAGGGAGGGAGAGGGGTAGAAAGGGAGAGGAAAGGAAGGAGAGAGAAATATATAGAGAGAGGGAGAGAGAGGGGGAGGGAGGGGGAGAGAGGGAGAGGGAGAGGGAGAGGGAGAAGGAGAAGGAGGGGGAAAGAGAGAGAGAGAGGGAGGGAGAGAAAGAAAGGGAAAGGGGTAGAAAGGGAGAGGAAAGGAAGGAGAGAGAAATATATATAGAGGGAGAGGGAGGGAGGGGAGGGGGAGAGGGAAACGGGAAGAGAGAAAGAGAGAGAGAGAAAGAGAGAAGGAGAGAGGGAGAGAGAGAGGGAAAGGGGTAGAAAAAGAGGAGAGAGAGGGAGGGAAGGAGAGAGAAATATGTAGAGAGAGAGAGGGAGAGGGAGGGAGGGAGGGAGGGAGGGGAAGAGGGAAAGGGAGAAAGAGAGAAATAGAGAGGGAGGGAGAGAGAGGGAGGGAGAGGGGTAGAAAGGGAGAGGAAAGGAAGGAGAGAGAAATATATAGAGAGAGGGAGAGAGAGGGGGAGGGAGGGGGAGAGAGGGAGAGGGAGAAGGAGGGGGAAAGAGAGAGAGAGAGGGAGAAAGAGAGAGAGAGAGAGAGAAGGCAGATTTTAACAAATAACCTTCCTTTTTGTCAACGGGTCTTAAGATTCCAGGATGGATTTTAAGCCTACCTGAACTGAGGAGGGAATTAATTCTGAAAACGATGGGAAGGCAGCCAAGGGTTGACTTCTCGGGAAATCCCCAGTCTGAGCATACTGCCACTTTTTTAGGGATTTTTTTAAAAAAATATTTTTCTGCAGTGTTTGGCACAGGAAAGAAGGGGCTTGAAGCGGTAGGCGGCCTAATAAAGCTGTTGGCTTTCGACTTTTCTCTCCTTCGTTTGAAGGGACGGGGCCTGGAGTTGCCTTAAAAGGGCAGCACAAACGTTGCGTTACTAAAAGGGAGGAAGATTATGGGATACAGGGGAAGACAAACGGCCGGATGTTCAAACCCTGTTTCGTAAATTAAACCATCAGGGCTTTAGAACAAACTGCATTAGAATACACGGGGGGGGGGGGGGTCCACAATTTGAGCCCAAAATTTCTGTGGCTAAGCGAAATGTTTATGAGGCGAATTTTGCCCCGTTTTTACGACCTTTCTTGCCGCAGTTGTTAAGTGAAACACTGCAGTGGTAAGTTAGTGACACGGTTGTTAAGTGAATCCGGTTTCCCCATTGCCTTTGTCAGAAGACCACAAAAGGGGATCAACATGACCACGGGACACCGCAACCGAATATGAAGCCGCTGCTAAGTGGCTGAATTTTGATCATGTGACCATGTTGTTAAGTGTGAAAAATGGTCACAAGTCATTTTTTTCCAGTGCCATTGTAACTTTGAATGGTCACTAAATGAATTGTTGTAAGTCGAGAATTACCTGTGTAGGAATGCTTCTGATGCCTCTGGAAGCAACTTCAGGATGTATGGACCATTTTTGCCCCTGAATGCTCATTGGTTTTCCGATTTGTTTTATAAAACCATTCCCATCACCCTTTTGGCAAGTCAGCTTAGCTTCCAGCTTTCCTGTGCATCTCACTTCTGGTTAACATCAACTCATAACATAATGAAGGAGGAAGAGAAATTATAATAATTAACACTGCCTAGACAGGGGGCAGGGTCACAACAGGAGAAGAGCTATATTCTTAATTGTTTTGCTGCATGCTGTAAATCACCCAGAGTTTTCGGCACTTGCTGGGAATAAATGAATACAATTTTCAAGGCTACCCAGGCCAGGAGGAGGAGGAGGTGATGGTGGAGAAGAAGGAGGAGGAGAAGGAGGAGAAGGAGGAGAAGAAGAGGAGAAGGTGGTGGTGGTGGTGGTGGTGAAGGAGACCTGTCATGGCTGTCATGACAAGAAGGAGGAGGAGAAGGAGGAGGGGGAGGAGGAGAGGAGGTATAGCAATACCAGGGACAATAGAATAGAAGACAAAGAATTGGACAAGATCACTATATCAAGATCTGAAAATTTTAAACTGAAAGATTATGGCATAAGCCAGTTGTGGTGGTCCTGGCATTTATCGGCACACACTGAGTGCCATACCAAAAAGTCTTGGACAACACTTAGGAAATCTACGCAATGACAAAAAAA